GGCTGGGGGCCCTGCAGGTCTGCTGGCAGCGGGAGCGAGCGCAGTGGTCCTGCCGGCAGCGTCACCTGCGCCAAGGGTCGCTGCTGGCCTTGGCCTTGTCCCCGGGCTGGGGCGAGCAGAAGGTCGGAACCGAACTGTTTCCCAGGGATTGCTTTCCCCAGAGAAGAATATCTTGGTTCAGAAAGGGGAAATTGCTGTTTCTGTGTGTGAGCAGAGGGAGTCATTTAGATAAATGCTCTTGATGAGATGTCTGCTGTCAAAGTTGCCCAAACACAGAACTATGTCTGTGGGATTTGAAAAAGGAAAAAAAAAAAAATCTGGTTGAGCATAACTTGCTGATGTGCAGTGAAAGATAAAGAATAGCCGTTCTTTCCTGCTCACGTGTGTCATTGTGTCAGGTCTCTAATGAGCTGCCTTCATCCGTTCGTGTACAAAAACCTTCCCACAGCTGCTTCCTACCAGAGGCACGCTGGAACGCAGCAGACTGACATTTTTCCTTGAGCTGCCTTTGTGCTCTGGAACAATAACAGCAGCCCAGGAGAGGCCAGCAGTTCAGCAGTTTGCATTTATTTATTGCATCTATTTAGAGCGATAGATGAATGATTGTTATCAGCCCACTGAAAGTTTAATAATGATAATGCGTCTTTGCCATAAATCTGCTTTATAGACAGACAGGGACTTGTTTGGTTGTAGGGTGCTTGCATTAGGGGGTTAGATAAGTGTGTGCGATCGATGCGGAATTGTGATTTTCCCCCTCTTGTCTCTTCTGATGGTGCCACTTCCACTCCGGGTGCCTGCGTGCCCGTGCTGGCCCCTCTGGGGGAAGGGAGGGTTTCGTTCCTTCCCCTGCCTCGCCCCGGGGCTGAGCTGGGGAAGGGGGCCGGGGGGGCACGGCTGCAGGGTCCTGGAGGGGTGCTGGGGGGAGCTGAGGAAGGGGGCTGGGGGGGCACAGCTCTATGGTCCTGGAGGGGTGCTGGGGGGAGTGTCAGGGTCCGAACCCACGCCTGGCGTCTCCCATCTCTGACCCCCAGGATCGTTCCCTTCTCGTTCTTCATACCCTGCAGTGGCGGCCGGGGTCTGCTCAGATGCACCACCCGCCCTCACAGCAGAGCAGAGGGTTAAAGCC